CTATGTGTATATATATATATATATATATATATATATAGCAAACCGACATGGTGGTGCAGAGGTACAGAGTTGCAGTCTCGCCGATCTGGAAGGTTAAGCAGAGTTGGCCGCGGTTGGTAGTTGGATAGGTGACTGCTTGACTATTATTCCGTCCACTTGCGATAGTGATTTTTTAGACCCATTGACTGTATCTTTATCGTTACGACAAACTGAGCAAGAGGTGGGCTGAAGTTTAGGCCCAATGTCTATAGACAATATAGATATTTGTTAGGTACGTAGGCAATAGACACTAGCTGTTCCGGGATGGATTTTTCTCGAGTGTTTTTCGTACTCACAGGACTGATTATCGTGGCAAATGTGGAACGGAATCCCCTTACTAGTAAGATAAGTAAAAAACTAAGAGAAAAAAGTAGTTGTTCCTCCTACATAAGTAAACATCTCCAAGTACGTATAAGTTTCAGATTTTTAGTGGTTACGGTAATAACACACTTTTTCAGAATTAAGATAATTTGAATGTCTTTTAGAATTTTTTTCAAGTGTATAACGCTACTTTTTTACTTCGTCTCTATTTTTGGCTAATTTTAAATTTTTTTCTGTGAAACTGTTTTTTTAATTATCTTATCAGTTAAACGTTTCACTTTTTTTACTTTTAATATTATTTCTTCATTAACTGCGAAATTTTTCAATTTTACGAAACTTCGTACATTTTTTCTCAAAACCGGGGTCATTCTAAATCTCTAAATCCGTAACCTACGTAAAAAAATATATCTGTTTAAATAATTAACAGTAAAATTCATTTTTTGGGGTTAAAGTAATGACAAATCATCTTAAAAAGTGGATTTCTACACTAAATAATTATGTAAAAATTTTTTCCTCGCATTTACAACTTGTATTTACCATCTCTTTCGATTTTTCACCGCTTAAAATATGTACATACACCTTGATGACAAGGTAATGACCAGTTTCATTATTTTTTCATGTGCACGAAAAAAAAGACTCGCAAAAAGAGTTTTTCAATTTTTCAAACCGCCTTGTAGGTTTATAAACATAGTCCATACACATAAAGGTGCATAAAGTCAGTGGCGACTTCACTGAAGTCAAAAAAAGCGATTGTACAGCAAGAATGTGTGCAAAAAGTTTGAAATTAACAAAATAGAGAGACACAATTCGAGAGACAATATGAACGACGGAAAACTTTGTAAGAATTTTTTTCTCATACAATTAAGTAGATAGTGTCACAATGTATAATCAATGCTTGTTCTGAAATATATTATGTGTTCCGAAACAGACAAGTGAAAATAAATGTAGCAACGCCACATGAGGCCAAAACCCTCTGTATATCTATACGTATAAGTATAGATACGTTCGGAGGTTACATTGTACGTCAATATTGAGTTGGTGGTGAAATCTCCTTTGCAACATCTTCCCGGATCTTTAAATACACAGTTTTCATTTGTTATAACTAAACAACGGTGAAGCTACGCGTTCTTGAAATATGATATTTAAAACATACTATTTCACATTATAATTCAATTTCAGCAAAGTCTGAAATTGTTTTTAATCGCAATCAGTAAAATACTCTTTTTCCGATAAGACTACGTGTTAAATATAGATAATTTGTTTGTCGAAAACGGTGAAGCTAAGGTTTCTGAAGTTTTAATATGTTATTCTACAGATAATTATAAGCTTTCGCAAATTTTTTCAAGGCATTCCTAAATTTTTTTATTTTGTGACACTACCCCCTTAAGTAAGTATTTGATGTAACTTAAAGACATTTCGGTATAAAAAATTAAAAGAATCAACATTTTTTTAATGAAGGTAGACAATATGACATTCTTACGGGAGACAGATTACGGTAATGACATTTCAACTTCATATTCTTCGTTCAAGCTTGCAAATCATACCTGATTCGAGATTTTTGAAACAACATCCGGGTGTTGAATCACCGGCGTACAACTGACGATACAATAACACCTCTAAAGAGAACAATTAATACGGTCACGCCCAGCGGCGGTCGTGGCTGAGCGGTCAGTGTAAAGTTTCGCGAATTCTTAGTTGACAGGTTCAAGCTCCTGCTGCGCCTTTTTGGCGGAGCATTTCACTACAGTATTTCAGACTCTTTAACCCATTTATTTAATAAATCGGAATTACTTGCTCCCTATCTACACGAGAATCCCCGAAGCTTGATCCGTAACAATATAAAAACATCTGACAACGTACATGAAAAATTAAAGCTAAGCTTACTATTGTTTCTTTTTCAATATTTTATAAAAGTAATGTTTCATTGTACATGGAACAAATCATCGGTTCTTACATGTGCTGAAAACTAACAATCTGTTGTTACCTTCAACAGACAAAGTTTCATCACAATCAGCTTTTTCATTAGATAAATTGACGATAAATTTTCCTTTCTATCGGTAAATTATTACTTTTGTTTTGTATATGAAAAAATATTACGACTCGTATGACAGTTATTGTAATACAAAATTGCAACTTCGAAATGAAAAAATTGGATCATGTGCGCTGTTACCACGTTTTCATGCTTCAATTACTCGATTTATTTACTCAGTAAACGCATTTTACATTACCTAAAAAAGTTGTAAGCATAATTTAAAAATGTTTTTCAACAATATAGATACTCTAACTAGTACTTTATGCAAAAGATAATAATTTATTCGTATTAAAATTTCTTTTTCATAAGTTGGCATCCTACTTTTTCTCTATGTTACAGTACAGGTCCTTAATCCCCGCTTTCACTGCAAAATTATCCTCCTGACCATCCTTACGGTAATCTATAAAAAAAAATTAGATAATTGAGCCCTCATAGTTTTAACTGATGCTACAATACTTTTTATTAGGATATTTTTGAAAATAATAGTGAAACAAGATATTTGAGGCTACTTTTACAATTAATCTTAAACAAAAATAAACAGAGAGCTGGACAGTCAGCAGCACTTTTAATAATAAGTTAACCCTATATCGACGGGTTATTTTAGCATATGTTAAATGATAAAAAAAATTATTTGTTAACAAATAAAATATCGATGATAGAGGTAACTGCTTCAAACAGAAAGATACAGGGCAACGTCCTAAATTCTATAGACCAATGTACTTTATTTTTACACATTTCACTGGAGTTATTGATAAGTTTTATGTGCACAAAGGGGTAACATTATCAAAAACATAGTCTGCTCCGAAATTTCGCTCATATGCATATGTATGTGTATATGAGGCCATTAATCAACGAATATATATATACAAGAAAGAGTGTGGTTTATAGAAGATACTTTATCAGGTACTAACTGGCGCCAATTTCATGGCCCGTAAGACGTCTACGTTGACCCTAGCTAGGCACCCTGTGGTTAAGTCCCCACTCTGTAGGCAGCCTATTTGAAATTTTCGATCGGGAACATTTCATATCAGGCACTTTTTTACTCCACACTGTTACAATAAAAAGTGTCACAGTTGTATGAACTGTACTTTTCATATGGGTAAAATAACTTTGTCTCCAAAATAATTGTCAATAGTGATATTATCATACAATTTTGCAACTTATTTTACTTTTTTTCGCAGGCCAAAGATTTGGTCAATCAAAATAAATCCGCAACGACACACCTTATATTTTTACATGACACCATAGTATTTAAGACAACCATTTTTGCCGATACCCTAATCAACCAAAATCATCAGTCAATCGCAGCGACGGAACAAAGAGCTAGCAATAGTTTTTACCATTCGTTTTTAAGTATGGAGAAATACGAAAAGAATAAAAAATTAGATGTTAGTTTGAAACAGAATTAACTTTATAAAACTTTCTAAACTTCCAAAAAACTTCGAAAGTTAATGTAGAGATTTAATAATTAACTTGTAAATAAAATTACGTGTTTTCAATTGTTATTATTATTCTTTAAATAAAAGAATTTTTTTGTATCATCCGTTTTCTTGTGCACAATGTTTTTAGCCGAATGACTCCCAAGCAGAATGATGATTGGAAGAAAACTCAATGTGGATGTCATCTTTTTCCAACACTGTGGTTAGCTAATTATGTTTTTCGATAAGAACACACGTTTAGTTGTTCCCTTCACTATGATGCCAACCAACTATACACAACAAATAAAGAGACTTTTTTTACGTAGGGAAATTTAAATTTTTGAAAAATCCTTGCAAATACTGTACCTGTTTTAACTAATTGCACAACAAGTGAGGATTACGGTAATGCTTAAATTATATAACAATTAAACTATTAAAATAAAATGTTTATGTGGAGACAAGAAACTCCTGTGGTGTCACATGGATAAATGGTCAAATATCTGAAGGAAGCCTTGTGCTTGATTTCTAATATAGCCAATCGAATAGTTTTTGAACCTTATAGTTACATAAAAAAGTTTATATTTGATCTTATTCTACAAATGTATGACTAGAAATATATAGTATATCAAATAATTTTTTACATGTAGAAACATTTTTGAATAAGCTGCAAGGTTTGACAATCGCTTCAGCAACTTTAAATTTAATTCTTTCTGATGTACAAGAATTTTACCATTTTATCTTAATTAACTGTTTATAAACTTTTTTACCGTATGAAGAAATATTGAAAAGCCTTACTTTCATGAATGTAAATTAAATAAATATTTTAAAAATGATTCAGAAACGGAAACTTCTATGTAGATATTCTTATCATAGAAAACGTTCCTTAGTTAAGAGGGAGACGTTAATTTATTATTTTGTTTCTAAAGCAGAATGGATTCGACAGCACAAGATTTGAAGGGATATCACAACCAGTTCTTCCTCCACCTCCACCTGGGGTAGCTGCTAATGCTGCACAGTTGGCTGCCATGGCGAACCATAGCGTCGCATTATCACAAAAGAAGGGATCGTTCTTAGGGAGTGGAACAGAAGGTGGCTACACATTTTGGTAAAAAAAACAGCATCACAAAATCAAAAAAATCAGGCACGTGAAGCAATGAAGTTGTGATTTAAAGTGTGTAAATGAAATAAAATATGGGGGTAAAGAATAAAGAATCAGAGACAGTGTTGTTTAGATCGGTGCAGGCACAAAAAAAACTTGACGATCTCTAAAACTAAATTTTAAACCGCAAAATATTGTGTCCTTGTAAAGAGCCGATTTTCAATGAAAATAAAAAAATAGAAAATGCATGTGTATATCAAAAAGTTAAATATAACTCGGTGCAAGAATCACCTTTCGAGTGATCATAACAAGGTCGTGAAATGTAACTTCAATTCCTTCTCATAAACATTCGCACATGTATACGGCGTATATGTACGGCATGCGTATGTACTCACAAAAACCTAAAGAAGCGAGTTTATTGTATCTTTTTGAGTTTTCAGCCGTGCCTTCTTTTTTTTCGTTTTAGACTAAAAGAAACGTACGGTCTTGTTTATGGGTGATTGTTGGTTTGTGCGTTAATTGATTTTCGACCATTTCCTCTGCCAAAAAATGTTGTCTATTTTATAAAAAAAACATACAATAAAATAAAAAAATAAAAATAAAAATAAAAACATGAATTAAGTGACTACTAAGTAATATAAATCAAGTATAATTAAGCTATTGCAAGAGAAGTTATATTAACAGCCAAAGACAATATTTGTATTTGTCCACATTAAAAAAAAATTGTGAAAAGTACAGGACATTTGTGTGCTTAGTTTTATTTATTCTTTCATTGGAGTAAAAGTTCCAATTTATATTTAAATTATTTAATAATACTCAATGAAGCTGCATTTTAATCGTACAAACAGATCAGCGTCGTACAGTACAACCATTAATTTGTAAGAAAGTAGAAGCTTTTTTTACATAGTACTTCGTGTATTAACTATTTTTGCTTATTTGAATTAAATCTTGCAATCACTATTACCTGTGCTGATTTTATTTCAGGATTCCTAATTGTCAATGTAACCGGAATTTTTAAAGTGTAATTGAAGTATAATACGAGTACCTTATAGTACTAGATTGTTTTTTAGTTACAAAAATATAAAGAGTGACAGTAGTAGCCCTAACGAAGATTACAGTAAAAATTCTGGAAAAATAGAAAAAACTGTTTACTTTGTAACAAAAAGGGACTAATTTTTTGAGTCCTATAAAGTCGGTGTCCCAGTACGCGCTCACTTAAGCAGATGAAACGTCCCAATAATCGGTCACTTTTTTATTTTATAGGCCTTCACTATATTTTCAATTGGGTATAAGCGTTAATTTGTATTTATTAATTAATTGCTTAGTATCTGAATAACTACCTAAATTAGCTTTAAAATTCATATTAGAAAAATCAGCGAAATGGCCGACTATTGAGACATGACTGAGTACTGGAACATCGACCTTATAAAAAATTAATTCTACGTGCTTGAGTGTGAAGAAGGAACGGTTTTTAGAAACATCTGGATAGTTTTTACATGTGCCTGAAATTGTTATTTTCGTAAAGACTAAGCAATCGACTAAGGAGTAACACTTTTTTTATACGACAGCCTTCGAGATTTTTTGTAATAGTTTTATTCAGGTCAGATAAGTTAACAGAAAAAATAGTATTTTATTAGTTATAAGCAAATCAAATATCACATTTAGTCTATCAAATAGATTATCATAAAATATTTTACATGCATTTTTTCTTTTTTCATACAAAAAAAAATTCCTCAGATAAAGCCCATCAAAGTTAATGAGTAGATGGACAGTTGAGTTAAAAGGTTACACTGTGAAACAAATATAATAAAAATTACTGTGCTAGAATGGTGATCTGGTGTCATTCTGCCGTCTAGGGACTTTTCACTTTGGCCAACCTAATTTTTACCATTTTGGACGGTAATTTCTATCGTACATACAGTAAAAATCACTAAACTTACAACAAAAATTACTGTTTTAAACACTAAAAATCATTTTTCCAATAGTAACAAGTCTCTAGATGACCAAACACTAACAGATCACCATTCTAGCACAGTAATTTTTACTATATTTTTCTCTCGGTGTATAAACTTTTAAATAATGATGACTTCTGGACGCCATCAACTGGCACTATTCAACTACTTTTATACTTTTGTTTATGTAAAAAAAAAAAAAGGAACATGTGTCTAATCTTTTTTTAAAAGCTTTTCTTGACGGACAAAAAATAATTTTTTTATTAAAAATTCTAATAACTCACCATATTATGTTTTCTCATACTAATTTAATACTACTCTCAAAATTAAAATAGCCCCATGACTAAAAGTTCTTATGATTCTCATAATTATTGCTGCATATCTTATTATATTGAAATAAAGGGATTGAAGGAATAAATGACGTTCTCTCCCATGCAAACAAATGAATCTTATGGAGTAGAAAATTTCTTGTGAAAACGATGGTGCTCGTGCATGAAAAATTCTATTTAGTCTTAACAAATAGATTATTAAGAAATATGTGGTACGTATTGCTTCCTAATAGAGTTAATCAATCAAGCTCTGTAATCGACGAGACATCATTTATTCAGATAAAGTATGATATACATATTTTCATGAAGTGTAGAATCAAAATGGACTGCTATAGCTGTAAGGTGTATGCGTGCATGCGCACGCGGGCTCGCGCGTTTGTGTGAGTATGTGTGTAGACATATTTCAGGATTTCCTTGACCACTCTGAGTCAGTCGGCGTCTGCTTTTCTTTTTTTCTAAATATCTACCACAGTCAAACAAGAAAATTTAATTCAAAAGATTATTATTTTCTTTTTAATTAGAATTTAATAGTTTTGAAAAACAAATATTTTCAAAAAAATTGATTTATATGCTTGTCTTTCTTCG